TAGTACTTGTGAACCAAGAGTATTATCACTTAGCGACATTGAACCCCATCCTAATGTTTGTAGGACTGTGGTTCTATGGCAGAAGTTAAACCTACACTCTCTGCATTTGTAGTCTGACTTGCTAATTTCTGCAACATCCAGACTTTACGGCCTTATTATTTGTGTTGTGGGTTACATTAAGTGAACATTGTGATGGATTTTGTTTTATCTTACAAAAGCTCCATTGATAGTGTTGCTGAAAAGCCAATAAAGATAAGTTTTGCATTATAACCACATGAGCCTCACATTGCAGCAATAAAAACAATAAGTGTCTTCTTTGTGTCTTTCTAATGGAGTGGGTGATAGACTATTCTGTCTTCAGATGTTCAGTTTTGAGAAAGATGAGTTTTGAACTAGTGTGTCAAAGATTATTACACAAGTCTTTATTGGACACGCAATTTATTGAAATGTCCTGTCTCAAAAGATACCATGAGACAGGACAACACTATGACTGGGGTTGGCTCTAGATGGAGTTTTGGGGTCTTTTGACATGGAAAAGACTCACGAAAAGTCTTGTCATCATTGTTTAATGCAAAAGACTTGTATTTATTCAGAAAGACACCAAAATATCAAGTTGGCAAGTCCACATGAGTGTCTCTACTCAGGTTCTAGATCCAGCACAGCTATGACATCTTGATGTGCAGATTCTCCAAAAGGAAAATGGGCAGTGTACATTTACGCTACTATAAGGCTGTGCATTTTGCAGTTGTTGGCTCTCCTAAACAAAGTCTTAGGTTATATTGTGGCCTGCTTTTCTGTCAACGGCATCATCTGAACATAAACATCTTCAAAACCACAGCACCATTAAAGCTGAAAACTTGCATGCATATTCCTGTCCATCATGAGGTCACCAAAGTTAGTTTTAAAATATGGTGGTCATAACGAAAATGCCAGTTATCTTCATAGCAAGTTTTTTTAAAGATTGAGTTTACAGCTGTCCAAATAACATGTGACAGGGTTTGCTGAGTTTTTCTACTTTTACCTCGATTTGACCTCTGGATTTCCACAGTCCATTTTCCAGATGTTTCTGAAACTACTTCACCCAACAAGAAGCTGAATCTTGGCATGCATATTGCTGCCAATGAGTGACACCAAAGTTTGACTGAAGAGCTCCGAGCCAATTCAAATATGGCCTGTGGGGCAGTACATATTGAAAAATGCCATTTATTTGTCAGTTGCTATCTTCAGTCATATGCTTTGTAAGGAATGTGATATGTCTATGACATGAGGACATGTGTTTACTGTCTGTTTCAGATATAGCGTACCTTGTGAGGACCTTGATCTGTAATGTGATCACTGTGTCATTTCTGTCTCCATTTGTGCAAAGTCGACAGCTGAAGGACTTTATAATGTTTATGTCTCATACAGATACATTACATCTATTCGAAACGTTAAGAATAAGTCGTCTGTGCACAGAGTGCACCGCCACATCCAACATATGTTTATTATAGCGCACCATGCAGCATATGAGACAAAGCAATGTATTGTATATGGGGTCACATCAGACATATGTTGTACATAGCGCAACATCCGAAATATCATGCTATATATGGCGTCATATCCGACATATCATAAAGTATATAGCATTACGTCCGACATGTCATGTATGTAGCATCATATACTACACATCATATTGTTTATATCGCCACATCTGACATATGCTGTATATTGTGTCATATCCAACATATCTTATTTTATAGTGCATTACCTCTGATCTATCATGTATAATGCGCCACAACCAACATGTTGTATATTGCATACACATCCGACTTATTATGTTGTATATAGCGCCATATCTAACATATCATGTTGTATACTGCGAAAACAACTGATATATCAGGTTGTATACAGCCCATATCTGACAAACCATGTTGTACATAGCCCCACATCTGACATACCATATTGTATATAGTATCACATTTGACCTATTGTGTTGTATATAGTGTGAGTGAGTAGGGTTTAACGTCGCACTCAGCAATAACCCAGTTATATGGCGACGGTCAGATATACTGCTGGAGGAGAACCTACATAGCTGGATTTAACCCCTGTGGTCGTGCTATGTGGTAAGACCAGAGCGCCGAGGCTGGTCTCTGACGGAGCAAGGGTGGTGCTGCACGCATTCCAGCGATACAACATTGCACCCCTAATTTCACCGACTGGAGAACTGTTCTTCCCTTCGGAGATATTGCCTGCCGCTCGCGGGAATCGATGTCGGGTACTTCAGCTTTGTGCACTCAAGGCGGGGAGGCTGAAGGCCGACGCTCTACCACCTGAGCTATCCCGCCCCTCTCCGTCTGTGCACAGAAGTGAGTTCCCAATGGTGTCATTTGCAAAGACTTCAGTGTCATTTTCGTGTAGCATATGGTCTTCGTAAATTAAATCAGTTATGACATTCAATAGGATGTTTTGCCTGTGGGCCAACTCAAATTCATAGCACGGAAAACAGTTTCAACATTAATGGAATACGTTTGCAAAATGGTCTCCTTGTGTATTGACTTTTTCTATTGTCACAGTGTACCACCAATTTATACTTCTATCAGTTTTTGAGCTACGATTTTAAAATTATAACTCAAAACACAACTGACACGAAACAAATTATACAGAGATAATAAGTGTGTTTAGGTGTATCTGTTTACCTCTGAAGTTTGATTTATTAATCAATTTTGTATTTCATTTTTGCGTTCCCTAGCCAGATTTATGAAGACCGTAGTATGTGTGTGTGCGACATGAGACCTTAGGTGTAATTTTTGTTCCTACAATGCCAACATTGTGACTGAGTACCTTGGTGCGTTACGCGAGAGCTGACAGGTAGCAATGTCAGTGTGATTACAATTACCCCTATAAGAAGGTAATGACATTTGTACCTGATTGGCTGAATGGCAATCTATTTTTAAACAGGGAATTTCCAGTTTAGTAGTGCTTTCGCTATTTAATACTAATTTGGCCCAGCTAGAAAATTAAATTCTTAATTAACAACCTTTACATAGAAATCGTATATGTATTAATCCTATGTGCGTCTCACTGCGTAATCAATGATGTTAAGGAGAAATTTGGTTGGGAATATTCTTTAACTTGTATGTCAAATACGCACGTTTCAAGAAATTCCATAGTAAACATTGAGGGAATTTCATAAATTAATACGTTACTTTTCAGTAGAATGCGCAAGTTATCCCATAACTGTGAGACAAAATGTTAGCCTACGGCAGATATAGCTGATCTTGATTATTCTCTGATGATGACGCTACCAAATTTAAGAGGCCGACATTGTGAGGACCTTGATTTGTGTTTGACATGAAGGCGTGTGTTTTTGGCATTTATCATCATCATACTTGTGTGCACACTTGTTTGGTTTACTTACCATTCGTATGAAATGATTGACAGTAACTATTTCGACATATTCAATACTTTTTCTACGCGAGGCGATTTACGGTTGTTCGGATTTTTGGAAGAAGCGCGGATCGTAATGCGCAAGCGCAGTAGAGGTCAAAGTTTGCTGATATAAAAATGTTGCAGTTTCATAGTCTTTCGTTGCCGTTTTTTACTGTTTCAGTAGCGAGGTAATATGTTTATGTTGCCATTTCCACGATTCATGTGGGCTTTTCTGCGTGTTTTTGAACAGTGGGAAAGTTTTTTTAGTAGGCTTGACATCGACGGTATTTCGTAGACAGGTCCTCGCAGTGTCGGGTTTTTCAATGAAGATAGCGATTGGTTTACTGTAACAGGCTCTCTGATTGGACCTTGATAAGGAATTATGTGATTGGTTAACAATCTAAGCACACATCTAGACTTTTTTTTAACCAAGGCAGTAAGTTGTGTATAAGCGCACAATGGTGTGTATCACATATCTTAAATATGGCCCATCATGAGGACTCGCTTGAAATTTATTCTGTAGCAGTTTTGGGACCCCAGGATGCCGAAAATGACATTTCAATCTGAGGACCCGTGTGCAAGTCCTCTCTAAGAAAAATGTCCTCGGAGTGTTGGTGTTCTTTCAAAATGAGGTCCTCGAAGTTAAGTCAATGCAAGAACACATACGCACGCACGCACACACACCTGAGAAAACAACCCGTAAATAGCGTAAGGACATTCAGTATTTAATTATTGTGATTCGTCACAGCAAACACGCACACGCACGCACACGCACACGCACATATTCATTCAGTTTCTGTACTGATACATAGAGGGCTGTAAGGTAAACTTTCTGCTAAGAGTCAATAAAGACAGGCATAACACAACAGAACATTATAGCGATTCATCAGCAGAACCATGTAGTCACAACAAGCAGAACATATATATATATATAAACAGAACTACATAACATGCAACCACTTGTTACAATATGCTCCAACAGTTACTGAAACAAAGGTATGCTGTTTCATATACAGGCAAACAAAAAATGCAATGCTATTTTTAGTACATGTTATCAGGTGAAATAATAAGCTTTCCTTCAGGAGGGCTGCAATCTAATATTTAATTATGAATCCACATACAAATGGCATTACAATGAGTACAAGTGTTTTTCTCACGTAAGAGATCCTGAAACATTGAAACGAAATTATAGTTTGTAGACATCAGGGCACTAAAATGAACAATTCACAATTATTGCCAATAATGTAGATTTATACTTACATGTTTGGATACTGAGCATGTCTTGGGTAAAGAAGGAGCATATATGTACACTGTAACATCTGAATAGGTCTATGTACAATATCATATCAGTTCTGTATGTAACTGTACAAGTAATACATTAACAATCTGTACAATAGTCGACCAGTCAAATTGTCTATCAAAGTTAACTCAGAATTACTTTATTGCCATCACAAAATGGGAAGAAAGAGAAATATCATTTTCCGACTCCCAAGACTCCCAAGAGAACACAGACAAAGTTATGAACGGAAATTGACAGAAAGACGGACTGACAGACAAGCAGACAGACAGACAGACGTCGGGTTGTATATTACTCCGCCTTTAAGAACACATCGATATGTACACACATGCCTTTTGACAACGTCCAAAGAATGAGAAAAGTTATGAACGGAATTCGACAGACAGACAGACAGTCAGACAGACAGGCAGAGGGACATAAGGCAGGCGTCAGGTTGTGAGCCATCTTAACACATCAGTTACATCTACATGCGTAACTGAAAGTCAGTTTACCTATTACCATTTGCATTATATTACATTACATGTATATATTCCGTGATCAACATCTGATAACACAGATCTGATAACAAGCAAGAAGCATGTCTTAAAATAAGCATGTAATATTTGAGATGTGAATTATGTACAATATCTCCTATTTGACACCAGAAAATATAGTCACTGCATTGTGTCAAATATTTAGTAAACAGATGAAATACGAGTCCCTCAGTTCATCGTATTTCTCCAGGAACGAACAAACTATGTCAAACAATGACATAGACATATATGTACATATCTACAGAATCTGATTATAGACCAAGAGTTGCTACCAACAGCCGCCAAAGAAAGCATGCGTTTGCGTGAAAAAAACACATCCAGTAATCACTGAATGTGAATTATTTTCGTTATAAACCATTTGCAGCCAGCACATATTGTCAATACATAATGTCAAATATTAAGTGACCATCTGTAATGTCTTTTATCAGTATTTCTCCAGGTATGAACAAACTGTGTCAGACAATTACATAGACATCTATTTACATATCTACAACATCTGATTACAAGGCAATAGTTGGTATCCATAGCAACGAAGGGACCATGTCTTGGCATGAAATAAACATCTAGTAATTCCTGAATGTACATCATTTTCCAAAGTGTGCCATTTGCAACAAGCCATATAGTAAGTGCATATTTAAATCACAAGGATTAATGGGTGGACAAAATTTAACATATATTTGTAAAATTGAAATGATATAGATTTCTGTTTACAGTTCATATTTTGATGCGGTGGTTACCTGGGAACTTTGACGTCGTATTTTCTTCATCTTCACCGACCTGTTTTCATCCATGCCCTTACTTATTGCTCACAAAGTTTAATGCTTATTTAAATGGCAAGGAGTAAAACAACACATGTAATATTATGCACCTGTTATGCATCAGTATGTTCAGTGTCAAAATGATATAGACATCTATTTACATATGTACAAGATCTGATTACAATTGGTACCAACAGCTGTGGAACACCGATAAGTCAAGTGTCAAATACAAGAAGGTGTTATCTTCCAAACATTCACTTAAGACAATAGGCATATTCAAATTGCATATTTGAAAAGCATACTAGATTCTTTGTATTTATTTGACATGTTTGACCTCACAAACATCAGATTGTTAAGCTTATTGAGGCATAAGATCATCAAAATCAACAATGTCGTATTACAGGTTTCATTTGAAGTGTTATCTGCTGTGTACCCAATTCCTTTGCTGTTTTCTTGTTCATACTTATTATGCATATTCACAGTGTATCAGTATATTTAAGAATTTCAATCTTTGATGTCCAGAATGATCCTTGACAGTCTTAAGTTATTAGGAATGTCCATCAGCTGTCTAAACCTTTTTCAAATCTTTCTCATTCCCGAGAATTCCCTAACTTATTCCTCAGGTATTCCACAATGTCATTACTCTGTCCTCTCTGAGCCAGAGTAAGGATGCATTCGCTTGTGTCTGAGACCAGAGAGAGATCTGCCCTGTGGTCCACTAGTAGCTGGAAGACATCCCAATGCCCACACACAGCCGCCATCATCACCGGTGTCCAGTTGTACCGACCTCTGACATTGATGTCAAAGGTCGGGAGCAGATACTCCACACATTGTCTGTTGGCTCCGCGACAAGCCAGATGAAGCAGACTATCTCCAAACTGGTCTGTCTGAACCAGCTCAGAACTGTTGTCATAGTAAACTTTCAACATTTCAAAAGATCCTGTCACTACGGATCTCATCAGTATTGTCCAAGGGGTGTGCTTCTTCACACATTGTCCATCAGGTGATAATCGTTCCATGATTTGTCTACATCCTCCCTGAAGGGCGAGGGTGAACAAATCATCTCCGGTCTTATCAACTAGTGTCAGATCTGCACCCTGTCGTCTGAGGTAGTCAAACACTGCAGACTGTCCAAATATAGATGCTACCATTGCAGGAGTCCACCCAAGTGTGTCTCTGTCATCAATACTAAACCATGGACACACATGTTTCACCATACCAAGGTACCCACCTATACAAGCAACGTGTAGCAGACTATTCCCCATATTGTCCACTATTTTAAGGTCGGCGTTTCGGGACAAAAGGAAGTCAACTACAGGAATGTGGCCTCCTCTAGCTGCCTCCAGGAGTGGTGTGCGACCGTGAAGATCTTTTGTGTTAATGTCACAATCACCAATGACATGTTCAACAATCAACATGTTACCACCTCTACATGCTGTGTGTAGTGTTGTGCGATTATGATCACCTACACAAACACGGTTACCTCCACGTTTCAAAAGGAATTCCCAAATATTGTGTTTTCCCGAGAGAGCTGCTGCCATCACTGGGGTAAACCCGTCTCTTCCCCGACAATTAATGTCAAACAGTGGAAGCAGGTATTCAACAATGGGACGATTTCCACTGTGACATGCCCGATGAAACACGGTGTCATTGTTGTCAGCTCTTAGTGTGAGATCAGCTCCCTTTGATACGAGCAGGTCGAAAACATCCTTTTTTCCACAACCAGCTGCTATGGTCACTGGTGAGAGACCCACCCTTCCACGACAATTAATGTCAAACAGTGGTAGCAGGTATTCAACAATGGGAATATTTCCACCTTGACATGCCAGATGAAGGACGGTGTCATCGATGTCATCTTTTAGTTTGAGATCAGCTCCCTTTGACACGAGCAGGTCGAAAACATCCTTCTTTCCACTAACAGCTGCTATCGTCACTGGTGAGAGACCCATCGATCCACGACAATTAATGTCAAACAGTGGTAGAAGGTATTCAATAATGGGAGTATTTCCACCTTCACATGCCAGATGAAGGACGGTGTCATTCTTGTCATCTCTTAGGGTGAGATCAGCTCCCTTTGACAAGAGCAGGTCGAAAACATCCTTCTTTCCACATTGAGCTGCTGTCATCACTGGTAAGATACCCATCTGTCCACGACAATTAATCTCAAACCGTGGAAGCAGGTATTCAACAATGGGAAGATTTCCACTTTGACATGCCAGATGAAGGACAGTGTGATCGTTGTCAGCTCTTAGTGTGAGATCAGCTCCCTTTGACACGAGCAGGTCGAAAACATCCTTATTGCCACAAAAAGCTGCTATCGTCACTGATGAGAGACCCATCTGTCCACGACAATTAATGTCAAACAGTGGTAGCAGGTATTCAACAATGGGACGATTTCCACTTTGAGATGCCCGATGAAGGACGGTGTCATTGTTGTCATCTCTTAGGGTGAGATCAGCTCCCTTTGACACGAGCAGATCGAAAACATCCTTCTTTCCACAACCAGCCGCGTTCATTACTGGTGAGAGACCAATCCGTCCACGACAATTAATGTCAAACAGTGGTAGCAGGTATTCAACAATGGGAGTATTTCCACCTTTACATGCCAGATGAAGGACGGTGTCATCGTTGTCAGCTCTTAGTGTGAGATCAGCTCCCTTTGACACGAGCAGGTCGAAAACATCCTTCTTTCCACAACCAGCTGCTGTCATCACTGATGAGAGACCCATCGATCCACGACAATTAATGTCAAACAGTGGTAGCAGGTATTCAACAATGCGAGTATTTCCACCTTTACATGCCACATGAAGGACGGTGTCATTGTTGTCAGCTCTTAGTGTGAGATCAGCTCCCTTTGACACGAGCAGATCGAAAACATCCTTCTTTCCACAAACAGCTGCTATCGTCACTGCAGTCAAACCCAGGTTACCCCGACAATTAATGTCAAACATTGGGAGTAGATATTTCACAATTGAGATACTGTCTATATGGAATCCACGAAGGAGAGACAGGAAGCTGCTGTCAATATTGTTTCTCCAACAAGCCAAATGGAGTATATTATCATTATGAGCATCGGTTATACGAACATCGGCCCCTTCAGATCTGAGCAGACTGAAAATGTTATAATTCTCATATAAAGCAGCAATCATAACCAGTGTTTTGCCCATAGAATCTCTTGCATTAATGTCAGTGACCGGGAGGAAGAATTTTAAAAGTTTCATATCACCCACTCTACAGCTGTACTGCAAGGCTAAATGAGATGCACTTTGAAAGTCGAAGTCTCCAGGCAGATCTTGGATATATAACCCTTTGGTAATAAATACAAATATTTCTCTTCCAAGTAGACTGAATCCCTTCATCCTAGCAATTTGAAAGACATTTTCACCAGCATTATTTTTGGATTCATAGATATCAGCTCCAATGTTAAGTAAGGCCAATGCAACGCCTTTGTAATTATTGTCTGTGGCAGTCACTAGAGCTTTGTTGAGCACACTTTGATGAAGCAGTGACTCAAATTTGGAAGACAACAACACCAACACTGCTTCGTTCCCACAAGAAGCACAGGCCTTGAAGGCTTCCTTGATCTCTTCGTCTGAAAAACCGTATCCAACGTCGAGGATTTTCTCAACCAAGTACAGACTGTGTGCATGAACTGCATAGTACAGTAAGTGCTTCCCTTCTTCCTTTGCATGTAACATGCCAAGCCGCTTTGCTTCTTTCGTATTCAGCAACCAGTTAAGTATATTGGATTTTTTCAGTTTAAGCATCTTGAACACTTTGTCAACTAGTTGCTCGTTTTTCAAAATCGGGTGTGTAATAGACATACTATAGTTGCCTTTGGCAACAGCATCGGCCAGTCTGGAGGCAACTGTGTCATAGTAAGCATCTGAGACGTAGATGATGTGGAGGTGATTATCTATTGCAGTGGACTGGACTTGCTGGGCCTGTACCCGCTCATAAATGAATCTGATACTGCAGTGGTTCAGAACGAAGGATGGATTCATTTTGAATAGAGCACACGCACAGGCGTCATAGATTGTGGGGTGTGAAAATCCAAGGATATCTCCATCTGTGAAAAATGTACCCCTGTAACACCTGACGGCTTTGGCAACTGCAGTCCGTGACGTTACTTGTGCCACCTGTTTTATGGCCTGCAGATTAGCTTCTAAAACATCATTTTCAGATTTCATTTCTACCTGGCTCAAGTTCAGATTATTTTCACACAACAGCATCAGGATGAGCGCAGCGGACTGGTCATTTCCACGTTCCATGATCATGTCAATTTCTCGCCGTAGATAAAATAGGGGTTCTCGAAAAAAACGTGCAGGTTCTTTTTGAAAACTCAGGAATTCACAAAACAGAGTACATATTAAGGGAAAGCCAAACAAAGAATCTCTTGTCTCACATAGCCTACCAATATCGAGGTCCAGGTCGATGTTATGGTGTTTTAGTTGTTTCCGGAGAATTTTCCTTCTTTCCTGGAGGCTGTAATGACATGACTTCATTTTTGTCAAATCGAGAAGCGATGGTCCTGTGAAAAAATAATATTCTTGACCTTCCAGCTTCGCGACTCCCCATTCCAGGTTGTATGATTTGGTGGTGAAGATAACACGAATCACTGATTCATCGCCTGGATGTGTTTCCCGTTTGTCATCCTTGCTAGATTTGGCATCTTCTAAATAATGTTTCAGATTTTGTAGAATGGACCTAAGATGGGGAACGTCAGTTGATAAGCCGACTGTTCCAAATATATCATCCAGTATCAGACAAACTTTCTTTCCACGCAGGTCACAATTCTTCAGCTCGAATTTATCCACATCATCAACAAACACAAGTTCATACCCCTGGTTCCTGAGATCTGCTCCTATCATCAAGGCAATGGACGTTTTTCCTTCACCAGAAGCACCACTTATTGTCACATGACCATACTTCTCCAAGCGTTCCTTCACTCCCCTATAGATAGCAGTTTTTTCAAAGACATCTTTGACCCGTTTCAGATTCATTTGCAGCATATCTACAAGACAAAAAATGGCATTAAATTCCACCGCATCATTTTTAAAATTATACATCCTGCTTCATCTGCAGTATTGAATCTACGTCAGGTGGCCACATTACCACGAAATATGTTTTCTTCTGACCAGATCTTCTTTATCAGTTACATAATAACATCCGATGCATATTCTGAGAAGCATACACCAAGAAGATCCAAGGGATCTATGAATAATTTATGCCTGCCATCTCGTAGCAACAGCCCACCTGTCAACTGATCAAGTCGACGACCTGAGTCGCCCTGTCCTCTTTACAGCAAAACAAGAGCATCGTGAAACTAACAGATGTCATTTTAATCAAAATATTTAAACTGACGTTCAACCAAGATGAGAGTTGCATAACTCAATTACCACCACACTACCACCACACTACAGACTAAATTAATATATCACATTGTTTTCTGCATAAAACCTCTTTGATTATCATCTGCCTTTTATTTTTCTGTATAGGTATATCCCCCTTTGCTATACTGTTGTAAAAGAAAAGTTACATTTGGAGAACAGAGAGGTTTAAATCCTTAAGTCAACCATTTGAGTCCGACATCTGCTAGATGCATTGGTCTGGCTCCATAACCATTAATTGTTTCCCCCAATAAAACACCATTATTACCTGACTTCATTATTCCATCATTCTGACCTCCAACAGATAATCTGACATCAGAAGAGTCTTGTACCATGATGCCTTTAAAGTCAGATCCTGGAATGAGAGTAGAAACAGCAAGTGAGTCACAATGGATCATGCCGTAGCTTCCTTGTTCCCTTCTACTTGTATTTGTGGAGTAATAAATGGAACAAATGGACAACAGACAAAATATATAGTCTCTCATACTAAATTTACATTGCATTTGGTCAATGAAGGGAGTGTTGTGTTTGTGATGTCAGACTTATACACATTAAGCTGGTACTGACCTGCAGTGATTCTTGTAGACACTGCTTGCCTTTCTCGTCTCTCAGAAACAGCAATGGCACCATTTCCGGCACTTGCCTGACGCTCAACCACTTCTGATGATGCTATCATGTCCATGGAGAATGTCCTATCACCATGTGTTCCTTGGGGAACGACATTAACATCGTTGTCATTACCAGGTTGTGCTACTTCTGATGATGCCAGGTTGTCCATTGTGAAGGTTCCATCACCATCTGTTTCACTTTCCCTGTCAGGACGTTCAGATTCAGTCTCCCTATGATTCCCCGACATGTCTATGTAAGAAACAGGAACTAAATCCACAAGTGGGACCAAAACTGTTAAAATCGAGTTATGAAACAGCAGATTTAATTGACTAGGATTTATATGTATCGTTACTTCGATTGATATTAATCAAATGCGGTAGTTTTTGAAGATTTATCTTTTCTTGCAACTGTAGAATTAAATTTTTAAGCGACCCAATCTTGAAAATAAATAAATGGTGGATCATTGGCAGGTACCAAGCTGGGATGTCAAGTAAGGTTATTGGACCAGTTTGGAACGGTAATTCTACTGCAGCTCATTTACAAATACAATAGGTCTGGACAAGTGAATGATCCGCAAAAATCTGGATGTCCAATGACAACCCAGTGCCAGAAAAGACAGAGTCCATGCATAACTACAGTAGGGGGTTCGCAAGCACCATCAGTCGTCGACTCAACGCAGTAGGATTAAGGCGCAGAGTACCAATCAAACGTCCACTCCTCTGACCTCAAAACACGGGCGATGTGCTAATGTGGCCCGTGTAAGGGGAGGTTATGTTATGTTTTGATACAAACAAACGTGTCACCCTGAGAAATTTAGCTGAGTGTCAGACATTAAAGCCTTTGTTGCACATTACGCACATTATGTTTTTGTGTGTACTTATCAGTCAGGTATTCCGACTGTATGGTCGACCGCGAGCAGGATTTTGCCGCTCGGTGGAAACGACCAATATAATGTTTCTATTTTGTACGAGCTGGACAGCCGCTCACCTGTATGTTTGTACGAGCTGGAATCTCCGCTCACTTGTGTTTTGTGTGTATACCTAACCAATGTTGACAATTCGATTCATGTATTACCTTGACGTTCCCCTATAACTAATCTAATGACATTACGATAATTTGACTTATGATCAAAGCCTGTTCCGAATATTTGTCAACACGTCAATGTCCCATGTATTTTACTGTATACTTGTACATCCAATATTGTCACTAATTTCAAAAAAGGCTTTTGAGGACAAAGGCTCCACGACGTTCAGGTGTGTTCAGGTCATAGAGTAAACCATTACAATACGTTTCTGTAAAACTTCATATATTCAAACGACATATTTGTTTCAATATATGTCCAAAGTACAGATAAATTGTATCCCCTTTGTCTGTCTAAAGTATTCAGCAATCATTCGGTATAGCCCTCTTATCATAAATCCCCTCCTGCTAACAGTAAATGCCAATCAACACCTTTCTACGTCGGCGGAGGTCAGTGACTTTGCATAACGTGACGTAATGTCCCTATGTATAAAACCTGACTGACATGGTCACTCAGGGAGAACAGGCAGGGAGACGAGACAGGCCCAGATCATCGACAGAAGCAGACGGATTGTGCGGCTAGTCGGGGCGTCGCCTCACCAACGACTACGTCGACGATGAAGAATCGCTGTCCGACTTCTGAACGCATGTAAGTGACAGAACGGGTTCTCCATATCGGGAACATTGGCCACTCGGTCCCGATGTGCGTTCTGTCACGTGATTTCGATCTTATGTCAGCGAAGAAAGACGTACAAAGTTTGAAATATTTGCAATATGAGATTTAATTTGTATGTGTGGCATGACCGATGTCCATATGTATAAATTACCTACATATGTATCTCTTTCATACATTAGAGATGGTTTTATTCACGCACAGTTTTCTCAAAAGCTTATAATTTAAAAATCGACGATCTGTTCACGCAAATAAAATGAATATTTACGTTTTCTGTTATTTCTTGTTAATATTAACATCAAAGACAGAAATATCAAAATAACGGAAAGTTGGGTTTTACGCCACTTTTAGCAATATTCCAGCAATATGACAGCGAGGGACACCAGAAATGAGCTTCACATGTTGTACCCATGTAGGGAATCGAACCTGGGCCTTCGGGGTGACGAGTCAATGCTCTAACCACTAGGCTACCCCACCGCCCGATCAGAAAGTAAGAATTGAAAAAGAGGTTTCCAAGAAATAAGAACAATTTACTTTTCAAGGGTCTTGCCAGCGCCTGCATGACAGCGATTTTTCAAACCACAGAAAATATGTTTTGGACGTACTTCAGATGAAGAACAGCACGGCCGGCTAAAAATAGCAACCAATGGAAAATAGCATAGCATTGTCAATGTTGATTTTTTGCATAGGCATTCACAGCCATCGTCTCTTTAGCCTATACCGGCTCGTATATTGCGATATGCGAGATGGGGCCCAGCTTAGGGCAAAGGTTTAGGTCGAATGTCGTCACACTGAACACGCTGTTTTCTTCTATGGCGTTTCTATATTAGTAAAAAGTGGGTCAGTGACTTTCGTCATTTGTTTGTTAGTAGTAGATGTTTCAAAACCGATATTCTTGCATGAATCAAAACATGGTGGCTGCTGTCTTCAACTACCATCTGACTTGTCTTCCCTCTCTTGTCCACCACCCTGAACTACTATCCGAGAGTACCCTAACCAACGCTCTTGGGCAGATGGTGGAAAAGTCCAAGGTAACACCTGAACATTGTTTTGCTGGAGGTAGTCCTGTCAAACACGTGCAACGTGAGGTTGAGCATTGTCATGCTCCAAAGATCAACCGTTGACATTGATGTAGGGAACGACATGACGTTGAACTGGTCTTCTGGCAAAAACTCATAGCCAATTGCGCTCTGTCTGGTCGGAGATTCGGCGCAGTCCAGGGATTTGGTTTGTTGTGGATGATGCGGCTGTGGTGTTTGAACGAAAATGTCTCAACCGCATGTAGCGATCCTGAGCGGTGGTGGTAACTCTAGGTCGACCTGATTTGGTCTGTCATTAACACTCCTAGTATTGTTGTATTGGGTCCATAGGTTTGGGATGGTCTAGACACGCTAAAATTCCTTTGCGACCTCAGGGCTCTTCGCCCCCGTGTAGACCCGGGGTCGAATAGGTCCACAGCGCCCCATTGCTGGTTGTGAGAGGTGACCAAATTGGGCAACCCGTTTGCCGTGGGTTGCATCCCTGTGTCGGCAGAGGAAGGGAGTCTGGTGGTTGAGGATGACGGAACCAGCAATAGTGTTCAATAATCCAACACACCACTTCGACCCTAACTTTGCCTAGACGGGTGGTAGAATTGGCCCAAACCTTGCCCTGTGCATGGAATGTCTATACAATTTGGTATTACATAACACTTTTGGCCATGTTCAAAATGTTAACTAATATTCTACCAAAACAAATAAGCCTCACAGACCCATGCACAGAAGGCGATGGCTCATGGGCCAATCTGGTGATGCTGACCTCCGATTTCTGTACGTCTTCAATTGATTGTCATGGACAGAACCATCCTGACCTTTAATCTGGTAGTCAGCTACAGCATTTCATGTCAAATTCGCTGGAGTATAACACCCCCTTATCCCTGGTCTTTGCAGGTTGGAGATCCGCTGCAAAATAAGATCGTCCTTGTAGACACTCCACGGTGGGTGGGGAGAGGGGGTGCTGAACCACATTAATTACGACATGGCTTCCCAATACCCCGGTTCAAAACGAAGACACATGGATACTGACAACTCCTCGTCTGACGAGAGTACGCCCTTCCGACCTGACTACTGGCCACGCTTCCTGATCATTGAAGCTTGTGACAAGCAACCTTTGCAATGGAACCCATTTGCAATCTCCAAAGGTATTGCTGGTATTAGGGAGAGGTTGCCAATGTTACAAAGCTCCGATCTGGCTCTCTCCTGATGGAATGTACCCGGAAACAATAATCCTTGAATCTCCTCAAAATACAAGAATTTGTCAACATCAAGGTCGCTGTCTCAGCGCACAAAACACCTAACTCGTATAGAGGCAATGTACGGGACAGAGCTCAATGCCTGTCTGACATGACTGAAGAACAAATTGTCGAGGAACTCTCTCAGCAGTCCGTCACAGCCGTAAAACGATTCACTTTCAAAAAGGACGGTGTTGTTCAACCAACAAAAACCTATCTCTTTACGTTCGCGCGAGCAAAGATCCCTGACACGATTAGAGCTGGTTATCATAGCATTAGTGTGGAGGTGTATGTGCCCAATCCACTCCGGTGCTACAACTGTCAAAGGTTTGGACATGGATCCAAGTCCTGTCGTTCCTCTGCTGTTTGTTACCGCTGTGGTGACAAACATGAGGGCAACGACTGTACTAAGGTGGTGAAGTGCACAAACTGCGGTGGTAACCACATGGCCTCTTCCAAGTTTTGTCCAGTATGGCAACGCGAATCCGAGATCCTAAAGATCAAGCACAAAGAAAATATCTCCCTTCATGAAGCTAAGAAGAGGGTTGCAAGTTTAACTGCAGCCCCTTCAACCATCACCCTACTGTTCTGCTGTCTCCCGTCCTTCTATCACTACTGCAAGTATCTGATGTCAGACCGACCTGGCATATGTCATGTCTTCTCAGCCAACTCAACTCAATTCAACACAACTCAGCCCATCTCAGCCACTCCATCTCAAACGCCAAAAGTCAAAACTTCTGAATCACACACACCAGAACAAATGCCAAAACCAGAAACTGAAACTGCGCGCAGTAAAGGGGAACAAAAGAGGCCAGAGAGACTAAAGCAACTTGAGCAACTGCCAAACACAAAACCAAAGGCCACCTCTCCTTCAGAGGTCCCCGTCGAGGTCCATAACTCCTTTGGCCCTCTGAATATGGAGGTAGCTCCATCTCCACCTGTCACCAATAGGAGTTCATCAAACGCTTTCTCACGTTCATGTTACATGTCACCAGTGGAAGGAACATGCATCCACAAAACAGGATCCAATGGGTTGAGTTGAGTTGAGTTGGGCTTTACGTCACATCGGCATTATTCCAGCCATATTGTGACGAGAACAAGTTTGCATTAATAAACATTGTAAGTACATACTCGGATTGAGTTTTATTTAAAAAACATACCAAATTTAAAGGCAGGCACTTTGTTAGTCACATTTCACAGTTACAATTTATGACAGTTACATTTCACAGTTACAATATATGATACAGATCAACTTCCCTCAGGTAGTTCACTATCAGATGAGCGGTC